AACACTTCCACTTCCCGCCGGTCTTCTGTGAGGTCCTGGTATTTCTCCCGACGGACCTGCCGATTCGTGAAACAGTGAACACTGTTGCATGACCCTACCACTGTAAAAATTTGGCAACGATTCACGACGTGAAGTCTTTAACAAGACAAAATTGATAAAATATAAATAATTAAAAATTTATTTGCAGATTACTTACAAAAAAATAATATAGATAAGAAGGTAAATATAAACGTCTAAAGTGAAAACTAAAGAAAAATGCACTAACACTTCTGTACCGGAATGTACAGGCATCGCATATAAAGTGGCATATCGATGGGGTTAGCTCCCCTAATGTTCGCATAAATAATCATGTCGAGATCTTATCAAGTGAAAATACGACGCGGCCCTGGAAAATAGTTTTCGCTTCGCCCCGCGCTCCTGGCGGCTTCCATGGGGACGAGGGAATTTTAATTAAGACGCATTCATAGTGGAAAAATGCGCTTCGATTAGACGGACGGTGAAAAATCAAAATGGCGGAAGGCGGCGAGCGGAAACGCAACCGCGCTTAATTGGAAATCGGGCGATCTTTATTTCCAATTAAACGCCTTTATGTTGATGGAAACTTGGTGACTTTAACTATATAAACTAAGGGGAAAATACGAGAAGTTATTATTTATTTAAATCTTTATGCACAAAAATGACAAATCATACGAATCGCATAATTTTCAGTATTTCAGAAACCGGGCGTGAGTTTAGTGTCCGGGCCCCGATTCATGGCCCAGTGCGGCATCTGGCATATTATCAAATCCAATTTCGAGTGCTGATTACCAGATGCTCGGCGGTACATCATCGTCGTGAGGAGGTGTCCCCATACATTCTGTGAAATAAAACAAGTGCGAGTCGGACTCGTGTACGAAGGGTTCCGTACCATTATCTATAAGAACGGCAAAAAAATCATGTCTGTTGTATGGGAGCCCCAATGAAACATTTTTTATTTGTTATTTTTAGGTTTTTTAGTCAATTTATTGTTAAAGCGGCAACAGATATACATCATCTGTGAAAATCTCAACTGTCTAACTATCACGGTTCATGAGATAGATACAGCCTGGTGGCAGACGGACAGACGGACAGACGGACAGACGGACAGACAGACAGACAGACAGACAACGGAGTCTTAGTAATAGGGTCCCGTTTTACCCTTTAGGTACGGGACCCTAAAAATGAATATTTCGAAGATGTTTGTCATAATCTTTATTTAGACGAGGCCTTTGCCCCGAAGTTGGACATATAACTTAAATCATTTTACATAATATTATGTATGTTGTCCCATGAATGTGCTTCAACGTATTACTATTATTATTACTGAAGATCTGTGCAGTATAAAGAGGTAAAACCTCGTGAGCTGTAACTTACAAATTGAAGTTTACCTTATCCGTATAAATCTTACAAATCTGTACAACACGAGATAATCGCTTTCATAAACTTGCCTAAGCTCAGCCAGTCTCCTCGAGTTATTAATGATTAATCATTCTTCGCAATATAAATTAATTTCGAACTTGCCCAATTAGCGCCGGAGGATTCGTGCTATTTCAGGTTATTGATAAATCTATAACTGTAATTCATTCCAGAGCCTTATTAAATACAGTTGCAAACGAAACGATTTTACAATTAGTTACAGAATGGTGGTAAAATCCCGAACCTAAGTATCTGTTGCAGGTGTACTCCTTTTACTACTAAGATTTGTATACATATACAAATGTTAATATTATTTATATAATACATAATACACATTTAAATTCATATACTTTTAACCGTGCCTTATTCATTCCCTATTAATGTGACAGGTGACGAATGTGTCGTTGTATGCGGGACGTAAATATGAAAAAAACAAACTACCTAAATTTTGACCATCACTTAGATTCGAACTTGTGACGAGAAGATGTCGACTTTCCAGGTATTATACCACCGCTGCTAATAATCGTGCCTAAGACACGATCGATCCAGAGAGCGACTATACTTAAAACTGAGAGGGAGATGTAACATAATTACATTGCTGCCAGTAATAAAACAAGAAGTCGACCGACCTGATCTCTCCTAAATGGCCGGACAGAAAAAAACGCTGAACAATAAAGAAAATAATAAAGCTATGAACGATGATACTTTTTGTGGTCTATATTATGATGGTGTACACAGAGTAGGCGACAGGCAGAAGCTCGCATTTAATTGTATGTTTCAAATATTTTTTATCGTGAATAAAGAAGTTACTGCGCTTATATCTGGAAAAATTCAAATCGGCAAACAAGAACGTTAAAATAAAGTTATGCATGTTATTTCTTAGCTTAACCTTATTATTTAAAGTATTGTTAACAAATATAAAATAAAAATAATTGGATAATCTGAGAATATAAGAATATGAATTTAACTTTTTTAATAATATATAGATAAGAGCTACTACACGTTAGTATCGTAGCTCCGACCAACTTTAACCGGTAAGTTATGATCCAAAGGAACGTAACTAGCTAAGAAGCCGCTAAAAAGCAAAAAAAACTGTAGATAGTATTAATTCTTCGTATGTTTCGATAACACCAAAACACGTAAGCCCTATGTTTCATTAAAACTAAAATATAATATAATAGAACTAAAACCAGCGCTTTTGTTTAAAATGCTTTTAACTGCTTCTAATTTCAACTAACGAATACTTTTTAAACCAACATATTCGTTAAGAATCCAGCCATATAGTTACCATAATATAAACCTATATTTATAATCTTTAAGCATTCACGAATATATCGGAACCCGCGTCCTTTTTACAGTATATTAACCTATGTAAATCCGGTGAACGACTCTTAAAGTATTTTATTGAGGCAGTACACCATAACACTGAAGGAAAGACGCAACTTAGCCCTTCGGGAACGAAATAAAAGATTCCTTAAACGGTTCCTTAAATTATACCTAAACATCAGCAATTACTAAATCCGAAGTGCTTGAGGGTTTTTAGATTAGAATATTCGCAAATACGACGTCGGTAGCGAATTACTGTGCTTCGTAGATTTGTACAATTATCGGGTACTCCGAAATGCAGGTTTTTAGTTTAAAAAACCGGTTTAAAAATTTTTCGTGAAGTAAGGACATGATTCGTGTAATGTAAGAAAAGGTTTTCAGTAACACCAATAGTAATAATAAAAATATTTTGTTAAATCTATAAGAAAAACATACTATTTCTTTCATTGAATTGGATCGTGAAACAAATATAATAGGATTAATAATTACAAGACATATATCTTAATAATTTTAAATAAAGATATTGTTAACTTGACTTATAAATAAACAATTCACAGTGAGGTAGAAAAAAAATTAAATACAAACATATTATTTAGAGTTTTAAGTTTCATTCGCATCGATACGCTCTACAGCTTTATTAGGCTATGTAAAGCTATACGTACACGAAAAGATATTGTTAACTTGACTTATAAATAAAGAATTCACAGTAAGGTAGAAAAAAAATTAAATACAAACATTATTTTGAGTTTTAAGTTTCATTCGCATCGATACGCTCTACAGCTTTATTAGGCTATGTAAAGCTATACGTACACGTACTAGACCCGTGCAAATGAGCCTCGACTGACGAATGCGAGGCATTTGTTTGAACCTCGTTTGTTTTCCTTCCAACGAATAAGTTTATTTCCTTCCTCCTGCGATGGTATCCATTTAATCGGCAATCCTGCCTTATAAATCTGGAGATTTAATATTTATTCTTTATGTGAAGAACTGACTATTGAACATGCGTTTATTTTTTTTAATTCATCGCAAGAACCACAAAAAAGTTTAGACATTATTTTATATACATTATTTTATACTGATTTTTAAGATTCAATCGTTGTTAAACCTCGGTTACCACACTTACAAGACGAATCGGAAAAGTATAATGATTTTACTTTACTCCGATCTTCTGGGACGTTTCTCATCATGCATAATAAATAACATCAGAAGGTGTCGCGTGGTAGGGCCACAATAAAACACTGCTAAATTTATTTTATTAATTGTCTTTATGTCAGCTAACCGATGAACGGGAGTCACGATCCATGTAAATGAGGTAGCTTAAAAAGGAGAAGAATGATGAATTTATATATATCACTATTTTTCAGGTGAGAAGGTGATAGCTGACGGAATTTTAAGTGATATCTACAACACCGTAGTTAACAGTATCATTGCTGTTAACTACGGTTTTAAAATTTATATAAGTTAAAAAAATTGCGTGTTTAAAATATTTTTAGGATATTATTCTTGTGTTCACGCAAATAGCAAATATTGCGACGTGAATCAGTGTAAAAAGTCGAGAATCAAACGGGAAAAATGCGTAAATTGTTTGCATTTAATCTTAAAATGAACTCAATAATTGAGAAGCGACGTGAATTACACAAAGTGAAACTCAGGAGCTTTTTTAAAATCTGTATCTTACCATAGGGAATATCGGACGAGGCAATATAAAAGGATATGCAATATCTCGGACGTGTGCTGGAAAAACCAAGAACCCGATAATTTATTTTCCAGAAAAAACCGTGCAGTGTGTACTTATGAGCGATAGTAGCAGCTGCGAGATGCAGGCAATTTCCTAAGAGCTGCCAACTTGCAGTATGCAGCTAAAATAATATACGCATAAATTTTGTGTAAAACGCTACGCCGTCACGTACTGAAATTACGGGGGATGCAAAGGCGAACTCGAGCATGTACGACTTAAAAAACATCGTGTTGCACACACACATTTATTTGAATTATCATGCAGAATGTCTATTTGATAGAAATTATTGATATTTTTATTACCGAAGCGGTTGCATGGCCCTACCACAGTAATAAATGGCTTAGCTGAAGTTGCGTCCATTTTAATGTAAACACAAAAGTTTGTCTACACAGAAAAAATACTAAGACAGACTATTTTTTAACAAAAAGTACGCAAACGTGCATTGGCGCGCGTCAAAAGAGAACCAGTCTTCGCGGCAAGATTTCGATGTTTGAAGGAAATAATGATACGAAGCAGGTCTACTCCATTCCGCGTCTCCATTAAGGGACAAAGCGGGCACCCGAGCGGATCCCGGTGCGGGCGAATTGAAATATCCGCGAACAATACAACCCACGATATAGGGATTTGCGTCGTATTGAAGGCTCGAGTGCTCGCGGAGAGGGGGGGAGGGCTCAGATTAAGTAACAATAATGCAAACAATAATGCACACACAAAGAGCGGGCTCCCGAGTTCTCCCGAGCTGCGCTAAACACCTGAGCCAGAGGACATTTTATGAATGCAATGGAAGCTAATCCAAGAAAACAATGGAAATTATTTAGCCTGCCTACCAATCTACAGCCAAATTTTAAATTATATCAATATAAAGATGGGGAAGGGAAAAAAGTTTTTGAAGGACTATGTTTTAAGATCCCTCAACATCGTTGGACTAATGATTAAAATTAATATATTCTTTTTGTTATCAATGGATTGAGAAATTCAGCAGTAAATGAACTAAACCCACGAAAAAGGTTTTTTAATGTAACTTCCAGTTTCTAGTAATACCTATTCAAAGTTTCATGGGACACAGAACTGACATTAGACATAAAAGGATGAAGGGAAGTTTAAAAATGAAGCAATGCAGTCATATGTATTGCGCGAATTTCTTCTTATTCATATCTTCTTCACCTTAGTAGTTTTGCATATAAAAACATTATACAAAATATTACGAACATTTAACTTTTCGTACAAATGCAAATGTAATAAAATTACTTAATATACACATAATAATTATAAAGAATACGATGTAAAGTTAAGTTACATCCTTACATATACAAGTCCCACTGCTGGGCAAAGGACTCCTCTGTACAGAGGATATCAAGGGCATAGTCCACTATGCGACCCCACTGCGGATGGGCAGGCTTCACTCAGATATCTTCGAAATATTTTTTTGTAATTATTACGAAAATATACAGAATCAAGTATATAAGCGTGCAGTCTCATTATTTATTTAAACAACGTTGACTGTTAAAAAACCGTCTAACATTTAACAGCCAATCTACTCAAGAGTTTCCCATTCGCCCAGTGTGTCTGTTACATCAGTTTCCCTGTTTACCTTTCAACACAAACTGTAAATAGCAACATCGTTAAAGTTTCAAACCAATCTTCTAGTTTAAATTACTTCCCCGATCATTCATCTCTCGTTTGAGCAATATAATTGAACGACTATATCAGAGATATACACTCCACTTTGTTATGCTTCTAATCACGCTGTGAAAATTCTATATGATTAAACTAAAGAAACAATCGATTAGTGCAATAACCGAGTCTACTGTTTTATCTTGCAAAAGTAAACTATATAAACCGTTCTTATAAATTCAATAAACATGTTTCGTGTAGCGCACCAAATAAATACACTACAGTATCATTATCCATTTCTCAGAAACTTCAAAACATTTTATTCATCTCCAAAATAGTACATAAAAATATATTTTATATTAACAGTTTTGTTGTAAAATATTTAGAAAAAAAATTGCACATATATTTCCATTCATTACATGAATTTCGTTTCGAAGTAACCGAAATTTTCTGCGTTCCTCAAAGTGGTGAAGTTTATTATTTCTTGAGAAACAGTTCAAAGCTTTTAATCGAAATGAATCAAAGCTCTTTGTTGCTTCGGCCCAAATAAATGCACATAGATCGTGTACATAAGTAGCACATTTTTAAATTTATGTTTCGTGACCATGGATACTGTTTTATTTTTTTTAACAAATCAAAAGTAAAATGCGTAAAGAAGTTATTTCTTAAATTCATGTTATATTTTAGAACTTGCCCTTTACGTCACAACTCGGAAATTTTTCCAGACAAAAAGTCTAAATACATTGAGCTAGCTTTTCTATCGCTATTCCACACTAGCACACAAGCATACAGCACTCAGAGAAAGCAATTAACGTTTTAGCGGCGTTAACAATGTTTGCTTAGTGGAGTTTTATTAAGAACTCACAGAATAAACGACCTTAATTTGACATAAATGTTTATTACACTCAATGTAGTTCCAATGTTTAAAATATATTCACAGCATCTTGTCGTACGGCATTTTAGTGTGGGTAGTGCATCTGATATTAATTCTATATTTATTCTTCAAAAAAGATCTGTCGGAGCAATCTATAACATAGGAACCCGGAATACACTCAGAGATCTTTTGAAGGAGGTTAATATACTCTCTGTAGCGACTCGGAACATATTTATTGTAATCCATACTAATATTATAAATGCGAAAGTAATTCTATCTGTCTGCCTCGCTTTCACGCCAAAACTGCTGAACCGATTTAAATGAAATTTGGTACACAGACAGTAATACGTACAGTCTAGAGCCTGAGAAAGGCTATTTTTTAATTGGAAAAATTTTTGAAAGAAAGAGATTTATGGGATTATTTTACGGCTTCAACGCGAGCGAAGCCGCGGACGTGTTTTATATGTTAGACATAATATGTTAGATATAATTTTAGTTATCTAAAGAATTTCTAGAAATGAGGACAAACTAACTACGCCATTGTTTCGTCTCATCATCATCAGCCGCAAGACGTCCACTGTCGAACATAGGCCTCCCCCTTAGAACACGACAACGAACGACACTTTGCCATTTGCATCCACCGGTTGCTCGCGACTCTTATGATGTCGTCGGTGCGACTAGAGGGTGGCCTTCTAACGCTACGTCTTCCGGTTCGTGGCCGCCACTCGAGAACCTTTACTCCCCATCGGCCATCAGTTCTTCGAGCGATGTGGCTTGCCCACTGCCACTTCAACTTGCAGATCCGGAGAGCTATGTTGTCTCCGGAGTATGATGACTTGGTTGGATGGTTCTTACGCGAAATTCCATGTTCCGGATTTTGTCGCGCAAAGAAACTCCGAGCATAGCTCTCTCCATACCTCGTTGTGTGACTCTGAGTTTCTCCAAAGGCCAACTTTTAGAGATCACCTCTCAGTGACATACGTTAGCACACACTGGTTATAAACCCTTGTCTTCAGGCACTGCGGAATCTTGGTCGAAAAGATATTGAGTGTCTTCCCGAACACTGCCTATCTAGTTGGATGTCTTCAAAAAGCAAATAGGACGTTCATGGGGCAAAGTGTGCACATATAAAATAAAATCCCATTGTCGATATTAAGGCTGCCGCTTGATCAATTTAACGCAGCGGTAAACTTAGGGCTAAAGCACATTATAACATTGCGGAATATTTTGACGATGCCAATGTGTAGAGTTTATACTGTTTATACTCACATAAGCTAATAAGACTATTATACTCATACCATTATATTGTAAACTAATCTTTTTCAAAAAGAGCAACTGTTGAGTTTCTTGCCGGTTTCTTCGCAACAGAAACTGCTTTCCGAACCGTTGGTAACTTACTTAAGAACGTATCAATTTTTATATAAAATTTCAACATTTCCTAAGAACACGCAAGGTTCTATGTGAATAAAGATATTTAAGATTATGAATTTTTCAATTATATAATTTTAATTTAAAAATCTCTATTTCACGATTATATACAATGTGATTTATATACCGGCCCGTGCAATATTACGTGTAGGGATTTATAAGGAGGTTGTGTTTATGATATTATCCTTCTCCACGTAGCACGTCGTGAAATAACGGCACATCAAATTGTGCTTTACAATTTTATTAATACCGGCACCGTAATTTTAATTGGCGTAAGTGACGTGCATCACAAAGCCCTAATTCTAACATGTCACGGCTATATGATAATTTTTAATCTCAATGAAGTTTTAGTTTTAAGTAAGTTAATTATACTTATATACGACAAGACAAATAAAGTTTATAAGATGACAGAAAGGCGTCAAAGTCAGTCAGTCAGTCAAAAAACGAAGAAGCAACACGGGTTCAAGTGATGATACTCATCACTTTTTGGAAACCGGAAATTTAAAGAATGTTTTTGTATCATCATCATCATCACTTCAGCCTTTTTGAGACACTGCTAAACATAGGCCTCTACCACAGACTGCCACGAAGCACAATCATGAGGCACCATCAACTTTCCGCACACTTGCTGCTGTATATTGCACATTTAATCTATACAGATAAATAAAATTGGAGTGTCTGTTTGTAATATTAAAATAACCGCTTTTTACTAAATGGATATGGATGTATGCACGGTACATATACCAAAATAACATTTTTTACAATTTTTTGTCTGTCTGTCTGTTTGTTCCGGCTAATCTCTGAAACGGCTGGACCGATTTGGACGGGACTTTCACTGGCAGATAGCTGATGTAATAAGGAGTAACTTAGGCTACTTTTACTTTAGATTTTTTTTTATGGGTCGCGGCCTTTGTGGGTATTCGGGTAGCAGCCTCGCTCTAATAAAGAACTTGACATATGCGAATTTAAATCGAAACGTCATAATAAATGATATTTAAGTCGCGTCGGTCGGTAAGGCGGGTATTTTAATATTACAAACAGACACTCCAATTTTATTTATCTGTATAGATTTTTTGTATTTTAAATTCCACGCGGTCACAGCGGGCACAGCTAGTTCTAAATAATCTTTTTATGGTCTCGAACAGTAGTTTATCACAAACGTAGGCGACTTTGAAACAGGCCTGAAATTAATGAAAAAGGTTGAAGGGATATGACGTATGGAAAAAGTTCCCACGGACTTTGTGAAGGGCAGAGCAAACAGACTGCGTCGTCTAACCTGGCTTATTGCAGTGGAAGTAATGAGATATGAACGGTCGGACAAGAACAGTGAAATTAAATGATTACGCACCTTCTACAAAACCTTAATACCCAGTTTGAACTCAACGCTTTAATTTAATTAATTTAATAACTTTATGAACGCCATTATTTTAACAAAAATTATTTTGTATTTTTAGACTCTCTAAATCGTTCATATTTTAATGCGAAGTAACAAATGTGTTTGTTATAAAATAACAACTATAAAAAGTCCTTTGGCTCCTAAAATACGGAACAAGTTTCGCTACAAATGTTTAAAAAAAAATATTCTCCTTTAGGCGGGCAAAATGTTATGATATCATTTAAAATGTTTTTAAACGCCCATCCATGAAAGTGCATTCTGCTTCGTAACCTCCGTTAACGAATGCAGCCAGTATTAAATTAGTAAGCGCTCTGTAAACAATGAGAAGACCTCAAGGTGTACTAAAGTGCCGGCACTTAAAATAATTTAAGTCCCGTTCGCCACAGGATTGCGAGCGCAGCGAGAGAACAAAGTCCAGGACATTTTTCATTCG